CAAGTGACACCAAGCACAGGCAATTATAGATCACTAAGTAGGCCACAGTATGCAATGCCAGTCTGCCTTTGCAAAAGCTAGTAAGTTACTTTTGTGCATTGATTAACATGACCAAAGTATAATTTTGCCTCTTTACAAATCAACGGTAAGACCTATCTTTGATGTGGTGTGCAATTTTAAAGCACCAGTTATAAAGAAGGATATTGCAGAACTAGAAAACATGCAGAGGTGAGCTACAATTAAGCAAGGGGGATAAAAACATTACTTATGAGAAAAGGCTAGAACAACTGGAATTGTTTTTATTATAAACAAATAGTTACTTGAGAAAGGATATGATAGCAGTATACAAATAGACCATGGTCACTATGTACTAACCTGTTCATTAACAGGAATATGCAATAGACAAGAAGTCACCCATTGAGGCTGGAAGAAAGGCATTTTCGCTTACAGCAAAACAATAAAAATGTGGAATTTTCTGCCTAAAGAAGTTGTCTTATCAAATTCTAGACACGTGCAATTCGTTTTGTTCCGTATGTAAATTCGGCCAAATTTTGTGCAATTCGGACATTCGGATGCTTTCGAATGTCTGATGTTCGAAGTCTTGAATTGCAGAGGTCCCGAAGTCCCGAATTGCCGAAGTTCCGAATTGCCGAAGTCCTGATTTGCACTAGTAGGGTCCGAAGAACCGAAGTCCCGAATTTCGGAAGTGCCGAACCGAACTGAATGCTACTGGTCCGAATTGCTGAAGCAGACACATTTTTTTTCAAACCCAAATTTCCGAACTGAACCAAGTTTTTTGCCCATGCACATCTCTATCATATTCTATATATATTTAGTAAAAAAAAATTTGACTGCTTTTTTTGCATAAACAGAATATTCAAGTATCTAATTATTATGAATGAAAACAGGTTGTTGATCCAAAGAGAAATCTGATTGTCATTATGAAATCAAGAAGGATATTCCCGTTTTTGTGGTATAATTGGAAATGGCTACAGTTGGGTTGTTTGCCTTATTTTGGAAAAACAGCATAAAAGAATAGGTTTCAAGTTTGAACTTGATGGACTTTAGTCTTTTCTCAATCTACACAACTATGTAACTATGAAATCTGAGTTACAAAGACTGCCAGTGACACTTTACTTTCCCATGTTTTTTTATTATCACTAGAAAGCCCACCATCAACATTTCAAAGAGCAAAATCCACGAAAGAAAGAAAGAGACCTGACAAAAAAATCAATCCGGCTAGTGAAAATAAGCCTATTTACATTTTTCTTCTTTTTTTTTTAATGTGTTTTATGTCTTGTATGATACTTCTCTGAGCGCTATATGTATATTTATATAGAAATAAATAAAGTGAAATATACCAGTATAAGGTGCATGCAGTGTATAGGTGTAACACAGTAAATCAATACATACATTGAAACAAATCGATGGCACTATGTACTAACCTGTTCATTAACAGGAATATGTAATAGACAAGAAGTTACCCATTGAGACTGGAAGAAAGGCATTTTCGCTTACAGCAAAACAATACAAATGTGGAATGTTCTGCCTAAAGAAGTTGTCTTATCAAATTCTAGACATGTGCAAATTGTTTTGTTCCAAATGTACATTTGGACGAATTTCGTGCAATAGTACAATGTCTCACAGATGCCTCTAAAGACTAAATGATCCAGATCTCAAGGATGAGGAATCAAGGTAGTTCCACACATAAATGTATTAAGATAAAATATAAATAAGGAGATTAAATATATATTTTTACATAAATATAGACCTCAGGAGTGGCAGGAGGCTACAACATCCAAGTGACCTAACCTGGACTTATGCGGATAACTTTTGACCACTCTGACACCCCCACGCGGAAACCTGTTTGGTAATCAAGGTGGTTAGGCAATGCATGGTATTGCCAGACTTATTGGACTCACCATTTTGAGGTCCATAGAATAGTTGTAAAAGCTAAAATATATATATATATGTATATATATATATAAAACAGAAAATAAATTAATAATAATATTGAAAAATAAAAATACATTTAATACAATTAAAAAAAAATAAGGTTCTCTGAATCAACTCAGATTAGTAAATTTCGAGGATTTTACTTCCCTATATCAAGTCACTCAGTAAGGCCCGGTCTGCAGCCTTGAAGCTATTGGCCCACATAGTGGAAGATCCCCTCCAGCTCTTCCCACCCTTCACTAATCGGCTATACGCCGATCTGTATTCTCTGTTAATGTACTGGCCAAAAAATCATGGCTGGAATGTATATGTTGCACCTTCTTATTATTTCCCTTTCCCTTTTGCACTTAGTCTATATTGACATCACACAGGAACACAGTATGTACATTTGCTGTAATAACTCTGGTATTAGCATGTATCGCGACCTAAACAACCCTAAAGCACAATGGCAAGCTTAAAATTCCTCTCGCTCAATGTCAAAGGGTTAAATTCTCCTCACAAACAGAGGCTGGCCCTAGCTGAAGCAGGTAAACAAGGGTCCCATATTGCCTTCTTTCAAGAAACCCACTTCAAGTGGGGTTCTAGACCTAAATTCAATTCATCCCTGTTTCCAATAGATTACCATTTGTGTTTTAAAACAAAAAAAAAGAGGTGTATCAGTTCTAATCAGTAAACAGGTGGTGTTCTCTTTAGTGAAGAAAAAGAGTGATAAAAAAGGACGATACCTTCTTTTACAATGTTATGTTAACAACGCACCCTATACGCTGTTCAATGTATATGGTCCCCATGAGGATCAGCCAATGTTTTTGTCTAACCTCCAAGCTTTCATTGACCAGCACAAGTTTGGTGAAGTGATTCTGGGAGGGTACACCAATTTTCTCTTGGAGTGTGCTATTGACTCTTCTTCTGCACATGCGGGAGGAAACCAAGCACCTACCAGACCCTTGGAGGGTTTTCCACCCAACTGGGGTACACTATATCTTTCAAGGTAATGGACCCTCAAGGTATAGCCCATGAGTTTGCCTCATATTACAGTAAACTTTATAACCTAAGCAAAGACCCCAAAACGCAACACCCAACAACCTATCAAATAGTCACCTTTTTGAGCAGAGTGGGGCTACCCCAAATAACGCCTGCAGATCTAGAACTGCTTGTGGCACCTTTCACATCTGAGGAAACTGCAAAAGGCATAACTCACCTAAAATCAACCTTTAACTTCGAATAGTGAGCAAACTATATAAAAAACTAACTCAGCAGCTGGAAAAATTTACCATTCTCATGGGCGGGCCAGATAAACATGATTAAAATGATGATATTGCCATGTATACTGTATTTTTTTAGGCTGCTTCCCATTCACCTACCTCCCTCCTATTGTAAGGTGCTTCAACGCCTACTCACTCAATTCATCTGGGCACAAACGAAGGCTGGACTACCCATCGCCTAACTCTAAAGACCCACTTCCAAGGAAGTGATAGGGATACCAAATATATCCTTAAACTATAAAACAGCAATACTTTAATCGGTGGTGACAAGCCAAGCTGCCCGGGCACACTGGGATGGGTTGACATGGAGGCCCGCTACACTCAGGGCTTACCCTTGATTGAGAAACCTTGGACTCCTGCCACCTACCAACCCCCCAATGCTGTCTCCTTACACACTCCTCTATCAGTTCACAGAACTAGACCATGTGTATGGCTGTAAATATCTCCCTTCCTTTTTGTTTTACCTACCCCAGTTGTTACTTATTTTTAAGTACTACCTTAATCGTGCCGTACCAGTTCTACACAATAAGTGGAACTACAAGGAATGTCTAAAATGATACCTTGTCTTGACTAACAGAATGGTTCTATATACTGCATATTGGAGGCACCATCCGCACTACCACATAGCACAATTATTCATGAGTACCCCTTCTACCCCTTCCCACTAACTAGCAGACGGTAGAGGTACACACCACGCTACTAATCTAGCGGACGCGTGAGTCATGAGCAAAGCTGCTTAGCGCATTATCTCTACACACAAACCCACCAATTCATAATCCACTGTATAACACCCTCTCAGGGAAACACAGGCTACCAAAGCAACTCAACATTACTACGCAAACCAAGTTTACAGGCATTAATTGTAGACCCGGCATCCATAAAGGGTTCAGGCAGACTGAGTCTATCTTGTTTACTCCATCTAGAGTGGATTGTTTACTGAATTTGTTTGCTGTCAATCTCAACACTGGGATGATGCACTGTACTCATGCATCGATACTGGAATGTACTATGAAAATCTGCTGTTTTCTATGTATCCCTCTGATTATTTTATAAATACAATAAAATACAAGTAAAAAATAATTTTTTTTAAAGTGGACAAATTCTAAATCTATATTTAATCCATTTGGAAATAAAGTATCCACATTAAAAATCCATCTGCTCTCCATCTTTACAAGTTCTTTAAAAGTATTCTCCCCTCTCCAGTTTTTGTGTTTTTTTTAAAATCACCATGTATGATAAAAATGAAGGATCACTCCCATGTTTTAACGCATTTTCCACTGGCCAAACTCACAAAATTAAACAACTTTAAACATGTCAGTATATGTCTAATGTCATATACCTTCTCTGGTGCCCTTGTGGTTTACAGTATATTTGTGACCACAAGGGTTACAGTATATAGGCCTGACCACAAGGGCTTTTAAAGTTAGAATTGCCAAACATGTAGGCAATATCCAGAGGGGGTATATGAAAAATAGTGTCTCAGCCCGTTTACCGAGAAACATGGGAGTGATCCTTTACTTTTATCATACATGGTGATTTTTAAAAAACACAAAAAACTGGAGAGGGGAGAATAATTTTAAAGAACTTGCAAAGATGGAGAGCAGATTGATTTTTATATGTATTGTATTGGATGCTGTCATATTATTGTGATGAATTGGTATTTTCTCCTTTTTTTTAGTAGGAGTCTTTTTAATAATCTTGCACAACTTTTATGTATGTCTTTTAAAGTTTATTTGCATGCCTATTGATTGTGATTCAGTGTATATTTACATTAACTTATGCATATATATTTTATATTGCCTCATTTTTCATTGCATTACTCTATTCTCTTTGAGATCTCTCTTATGTATTACTATGTGCTTACATCTGCCGGGCATGTGCGGAGGACTTTTGGATGCAACGCAACATCACAGGAAGGACTAGAGTGACGCAGCGTTCCAGACGTGAGCCTGACGACGGGTACCTGGAAGACAGCGAAAACCGAAACCGCCTCATTGGAAATAGCCAGAAATGACATCACATCAACACTAATGGCTGGAAGTGAAGCACACCTGTTCGGACGTATACTGTATGTATACCACAATGATGGAGGGAGTTGGACAGCGCTGGAAGAAGGCTGAGAATAGGCAAAAAGCGTCTGCTGCATATTTATTCTTGCTCTACTATTTCTACCTGACTCCTAGGTTATTTTATTTAGGGGGTAAGGACTTATTTATTTTACTAACCATCCTATAAGTACCCAGTGAGGTCTCTATATACATAAATATATATAACTATATAAAAAAAAAAAATATATATATATATATATAATATATATAAATTTAATCTCCTTATGTATATTTTATCTTAATAAATTTTTGTGTGGAACTACCTGCATTCCTTATCCTTGAGATCTGCATCATTTAGCTCTTAGAGGCACCTTTGAGCCATTTATACAGAGCCTGATACAGCTCTGAATCATGTGAGTGAGAGTCCTAGTTTTATTCCATCCACATTTGTGTATACAGTTCATACTGTGTTTCTTTTCCATCTATCTTTTAGACATTGTACTACTACCATTGATTTGTTTCAATGTATGTATTGATTTCCTGTGTTACACCTATCCACTGCATGCACCTTCTACTGGTATATTTCACTTTATTTATTTATATGTTTTTATGAGTGTTGTGGAGCACTTTTATATACCAGTTTTTGCACGTTCCTGGCACTATTTTAGGGAAGCTCCTCACACACTGTTACCTTTGCTAGATACGTATATTTATTTGCCATCTTTGAAATATGTTGTTTCCCTCTAACTCCACTTTCTGTTTATGTATTCACGGTTCTTTTAACTTCTATAAAAACTTAACTTATGTTCTCAAAAATAACATTTTTTGTGACACAGTCTCTGTTACGCTTAGTAATATATTTTCTTGACCTTTTCAAGACCTTAATGCCTGAACAGTTCTGTACTTCTGCAAATTTAATGCACTGTATATATTAACACAAATATCTAACGCTAAAAAAACAAAACCATTTCCTCTTATCTTCAACTTATACATTTTTTACATTACTCTTTAAACATAAATGATAAAAAATAATATTTCTAAGTCAATGTGCTTCCGAAGTGCGATAATCAATTGCCAATTTTTCTGCATTCCTTTTAAAAACTGCAGTGACTACTAAGTAATGTACTTTTGAACTTTGCGTGTTCCCACCAAACTATATGCCTCAAATTATTGTATAAAGTACATTTAGCTAAATCTTTGAACAATGTTAAATTGGATAAAAAGAAATTTAAAATATAAACTAAATGCGGCAGCTTTAAATATACAAACTTATAATACATCACAGCAGTCATTTATTTTAACATAGGGATTTTCATCATAAAACTGATCAAATGCAACATTTTTTACAGCTAATAAACTCCTCACAGTGTGGAGCGTCTTATTAAACCGCGCCAGTCTAAAATTAGAACCCATTTCGACGAGCAGTACCTCTTGTAGGGTCTTTGTGTGATTAAATGATAAAAGCTTTAGAGTTAATGGAAAATATAAATCATTGCAATCTCAATAACAGGACTTTGTCTCCCAAATCATTTCACTTTCATCACATATTTCCTTATCACAATTAGCGGTAGGACAAATGAGTCAGAGTTTTGCATACTGAGGAATCTTTGCAGAGCTCAGAACTGCAGGGAGTAATGTAGGGTAAATAAAGCAACAATTCATGGCCCCTGTTGAGGACCTGACAGTATTCTCTGTAATGAACACGGTCCTTCAATGGGGTTTTACAGAGCTGTTTACATGTCAGCAGTCTATCTCACCACTATTGTACCCTGGTATTGCTTCAAATCTATGATTGCTTTGCTATTCAACCATAACAAGACACATAAAGTGATTGTGCTTTTTAAAAACATTGGCCTAGATTTACCCTCTAGAAAATAAGATTTAGCAATATTTTTGATTCTGAGTTAAAAAAAAAATTGAGCGTGGTATTTGTAACGTGTTTAAAATCCAATGGCAAAATGGGGAAAAAAACAAATAGGAGCTTATTTATTAAACCGCGAATTGTAGTGATGTTAAAACTGAATTTACTAAATCTGAGAGGAAGAATTTTTTCAACTTTCCTTTTTTTTTTCAAAGTTTTTCGCTTAACTACATTTTGCTGTTTAGTAAATAACCTGATACAATTTACCAGTAACTATGAAACTACTGGATAATTGTGTCATGTTATTTAATACACACAGTCTAGTAGACTGAAAGAGATAGCCAAACTGGAAAAGAGTATTGAAGCACAATTTGTGATACAGCGCATGTTCTTTCCAGGTCAGGGTAAAGATTAGTACTTTATAGGGTTGCAATATTCACTATATTTTCTTGACCATGTATCACTTCTTTATATTGATGGTCTTAACATGAAAAGTGATGTCCTGTAGTAAATGCAATGTATATGTTATAATATATGATTTTGTTTTTCGATTTTTAAGGTGCTGCCCATCAATGTATATGTGTCCAGGAAAGAATAATAGACCTGCAATCCACAGATATATACATTTAATTCAACTTCCATATTATCCAAAGCTGGGAGGTATGGACAGGAGTGGAATGCAAGCAATGAAACACATGTCACTGTCGATGCCCATAATGGACAATCCCATCTGCATAGAAGTGGTGTTGCCTACAGAAGGGGCATGTCAGCCTGACTTACTACCAACCTCCTGCCAGCCCCGCTCAAGGCAGAATATGAAGAGAGCACTGTTGAAGCACCCTTCGCCCTACTTGAGTGTACCTAATTAAGCACTTGTGCTGTGCTGGCTGGGGAATAGCTCCCTGGTTTTACCAGGGAACAAAATCAGGGTGGTGGGTCATTACCCCAAAATCAAGACTTTCCCATCCAAACAGGGATATGTGGGTTAATTAGTAGTATATTGACCACCAAATTGCAATATTTAAACTATTATATAGCTTGGAAACCCTCTCCAGCTTTAACTGTTATGACTTGTATTTTGTACTTGCTAGTGAAAGAGTCTGTCTGCGTTCAGTGAGTTACTCCCTTGAACGCTTTCTGTACAGACAAACAAAAACCCCTTCACTTTTTTGTGCTATAGACTATGGCACGGTAAAAATAGTTAACGTTTATTTCAGACTTAAAATGTTTTGATTTTTGAAGAACAACATGAAAACATTTTTTTTTCCAATGAGGCTGTCAAATTGAAATAGTTGAGGAGGAAACTTTTTTTATTTGTGAATATTTTTTATTGTTGTAAATAAAAAACCTGAATTCCCATGGGTAGGAGTTTAAAAGAAACTGAGCGTGAATAAGTGAAGTATTCATTGTGCACCATTGTTCTGTGTCATGTCAATAATGTAGAATATAATTGTAGTTTAAAATGGCAGTGTGCATGTTCAGGCATTTCAAAGTAAGGCATGCTTAAAGTGGATTTGTCACCTGAGAGAACCTTAAGTGATCAACGTAGCATACATTTAATTTTATACAATTTTCTTGTTTTTAAAGGTACACTCTTGGCAGCAAAATCATTTCATCTTAACAAAATTATTTTGGTGTATAGATGCTACCTCTGCAGGCTCCTGTGTTCCTTTAAACATATTGTCAATAATATGTTTCATTGTAACTGTCAAAGAATTCAGTATTCAAGGAATAACAAAGGCAACCACTTTTCTTCTCGATTTCTACATGTGAAATTAAACACACCACAAAAAAAAAAAAAACAGAGATGTTGCTCAACTACAACTATTGCATTCAAAGAGTATGTTTTCTCTTAAAGCGACACTCCACTGATTAAATACACAAAATAGAAAAATCACTTTTTAGTAGATATACTCCACATGAAAACTTGCATGCATTTGATTATGCATTTGTGTCATTAGGGTATACCTAAAACCAGCATTCAAAAGCTGCAGATCTCTAGTTTGAAACCCTTGCAAGTCTTTCCTTTCTAATCCAGCCCTGACTTTCTGTGACCGTCCAATCACAGACGTCCCAATACAGCTCAACGAGAAGTCTTTGCAAGGCAGCTGTTATGGGCAATTTTATCTTTCTTTATTTTCCTCAGCAGCAAAGAAAAAACACATGATGGATCTGCTATCCTGATGGGTATTCACTTGTGTGTCTTTGGTCATTTATTTGTTAGTTTTATTCATATTTTGTTTGTTGGTGCTCCAGTGTGCATTTTAATCCATCTTACTTCCTTAAGAGTCTGAGTGCTGCCCGGGCCCCACGTTTAGCGGCGGAACTGCCCCGCACGCTGTTAGGGCCAATCGGGTGGCCACCCGATGGGCCCTGTGTCTTCAGGGGCCCGGTCAGCGCTGCGGCTGTGCAATAGCGCGACCGGGCCCCTTTAAAAAAATCTCAGCCACAAAGTACTGCTGGGAGGAAGAGGCCGTCACTTCCTCCCAGCTCCCTCCCCTCCGTGCCGCGCGGGAGGGAAGAAAGCCAGCCCGCGGGAGCCATGCTGACTCCCATCAGCCACAGCCTTCCGCCTGCAAAAAAGGTAAGCAAAATTAGCTGTATGTCAGTATGTATGTATGTTAATATGTATGTATGTCAGTAAGTATGTATGTGTGTGTATGTATGTATGTGTGTCATTATGTATGTATGTTAATATGTATGTATGTATGTATGTTAATATGTATGTATGTATGTTAATATGTATGTCAGTATGTATGAATGTTAATATGTATGTGTGTGTGTATGTATGTATGTCTGTTAATATGTATGTATATATGTATGTATGTGTGTCAGTGTGTGTGTGTTTATGTATGTGTGTGTGTCAGTATGTATGTATGTGTGTATGTGTGTCAATATGTATGTATGTTAATATGTATGTGTGTATGTATGTGTATCAGTATGTATGTATGTTAATATGTATGTGTGTGTCTCTATCAGTATGTATGTATATATGTATGTCAGTATGTATGTGTATGTATGTGTCAGTATGTATGTATGTAAGTATGTATGTCTGTGTGTGTAAGTCAGTATGTGTATGTATGCATGGCTGTCTGTGTGTATGTATCTGTATGTATTTCAACATGCATGTATATGTTTGTGTCTGCCTGTTTGTGTGTGTGTGTATTTATGTCCTTATGCTTGTGTGTGCAGTGTGCATAGGAATTTGTTCATATTCTTTATTGTCCAGCCCCCAACAGTGTCTGAGGGACCGTGAACTGGCCTCTTGTTTAAAAAGTTTGAGGACCCCTATCATTATGTATGTATGTATATTTATTTGAATGTATGTCTGTATGTATGCATGTATGTCAGTATGAATGTATGTCTGCATGTCATTATGAACGTGTGTATGTGTGTATGGATGTCATTATGCATGGATGTCAGTATGCATGTATGTCAGTATGTATGAATGTATGTATGTATATATGCCAGTATGAATGTATGCCATTATGAATGTATGTCTGTGTATGTATGTATGTATGTGTGCATGGATGTCAGTGTCTGTATGTCTGTCTGTATGATTGTATGTCTGTATGAATGAATATATGTCTGTGTGTATGTATTTCGGTGTATGTATGTGTATGTCCTCATGCATGTGTGTCTGTATGTATGTTAGTATGTGTCTGTCACTATGTGCCTGTGTGTCTGTATATATGTGTATGTCTCAGTATGTGTGTGTCAGTATGTATGCCTATATGCGTGTATGTCTGTTTCAGTATGTGTGTCTGTTAGTATCTATCTGTGTGTATCTGTGTCCTTTTGTATCAGTGTGTGTTTTTGTGTCTGTGTGTGTATTCCTGTGGATGGGATTTGGAGGCGGACCCTGTGGGCGGGATTGGAGGACCCTGAGCTGAGTTAGGGGCACCAAAATTTCTGGTGGCGACCCTGATAGTAAGTAATGTGTCTACTAATATAATCAATAACACTTACATACACTATCAATAAACACTAATTTCCACACTTCTCAACACTAACACTATACAGTAACTCCTTACACTACACTAACACTAACCTTTAAAAACTACTCCACACTATACTATTACTAAACACCAACTTCTACTTCTACACTACACAAAATGAACACAAAATATTAACCCTTTATAATACACTTACTCTAACCATTATCACCTGCACTACACTAACTCATCACTAAACAATAACTTCTACACTACACAAAATTAAAACAAAACTTTAAAGCAGGCCTTTCCAACCTGCGGCCCCTCAGATGTTGCTGAACTACAACTCCCATGATTCTTTCAATTAAACAGATAGCCAGGGAATCATGGAAGTTGTAGTTTAGCAACATCTGAAGGGCCGCAGGTTGGACAGCCCTGCTTTAACCCCTTAAGGACCAAACTTCTGGAATAAAAGGGAATCATGACATGTCAAACATGTCGTGTGTCCTTAAGGGGTTAAAGGGACACTCCAGTGCCAGGAAAACAATCCGTTGTCCTGGCACTGCAGATCCCCTCTCCCTCCCACCTCCCAATCCCTGGCTACTGAAGGGGTGAAAACCAATTCAGTAGCCCTTAGACCCCCGCCGATGTCCCTTGGCGGTTGTTTCGGGTCGCAGCCGCTCCTCCTCCTCATTATGTCGGCCGGTGGGCGAGACTGATCTCGCCTGCTGGCTGCGGAGACCTAATGTGCATGCGCATTAGAGCTCTCCATGAGAAAGCATTGAAAATGCTTTTCAATGCTTTCCTATGGGGAATTGAGTGATGCTGGAGGTCCTCACGCAGCGTGAGGACGTCCAGCGATGCTCTAGCACAGGTTTTCTATGCTATGGACTAGGAAGTGCCCTCTAGTGGCAGTTAACCCTGCAAGGTAATTATTGCAGTTTATAAAAAACAGCAATAATTGCACTTGCAGGGTTAAGGGTAGTAGGAGTTGGCACCCAGACCACTCCAATGGGCAGAAGTGGTCTGGGTGCCTGGAGTATCCCTTTAACCCAATACACTACACTAACTCTAATCAATCACAACACAATAACCATATCTCTAACTTTTTTTTCATAAGCTTCATTAAGTTTTTAAACATAGGTATAACAAATACATCCAAGGAAAGTATAAATAATACATAGAACAGAGACAATATACAATATATCATTCGTTTACAGATTGTTAGATTACAATTAAACGTATAAAAACAGGACAATTACAAGCCATGAAGAGAACAAATCATAAAAAAGGAGAAAAGAGAGGGATGTTTTTGTTTCTGGAGACATTCCCAACACTTTTCGGCATCATTGCTGTTAGTAATAGCAAGAGGACTTATCCATCTAAACCTTTCTTCATTTGAAGTTGATATAAAACTTTGTGATTTTAAAAATGTTATTGGGCTAGAGTCTCTCCAATTTCTGAATATCTGCAGTTTTGTAGTTCAGTTTAGTAAGTGATTTTAACTTATCAAATACCAGTAAGAATAATGGTTTAATAAAATCCCACTCCCACCAAAAGTGCAAGAGAGAATATTTCTTGCCACATCTCCAGCACCTGTTAGAATAAATACCACTTGTGAGGATGAGCTTATTTTGGACTTCAATGATGTTCATGCAATGAAGCAGATTATATATTAATCTGATAGATTTCAACCAGTCCTTATGTTTAATGGAAATCTTTAAATCTTGGGACCATCGATCTATAACAGGACTTGGTGTTTCTTGAATTTCTGATGTAAGTAATATAGAACATTTCATGAGCATTTTATAAGTAGAGTGTATCTTGAAAATCTTCTCCCACTAACTTAAAAATCTAATGTAATTGTCAGGACGAACCAGTGACCCAACACGCAGAATTAAGCCAAACACGTAACAAATAACAAACAGTAACAACGTATTACTGGGCCTTAGAATGGCCAGATTTAACGTAATAGAATAACCAGTCACGAGACTAGATCAGGAATACAGAAAGGAACAAATACAGTAAGAACAAAGCCAAAGGGTCAGGGAAACCAGAAATACGTGAAGTCAAGCCAAGCCAAGATCAATAACCAATAAACAGTATCAGGAACGTGCTCTCGGATAACCACCAGGATGGAAACCACGACAGGGCAGTGAACAACTGAAGGTTTGGGCTTAAATAACCCAGTAAACCCTTCTATTTGCTAATTTGGGTCCCATGACCCCCAAAACATGCGTGCACTGCAAAAATCAGCAGCACCCTATTTATGTATGTTCACGTGAGTGCAGCCAGCCCCCCGTTTTCTCAAATATAGCGCTATCATATATGCTGCTGTATTAGGAGCTGCACGAAGGGAGAGGTGCTGGGACTAAGGTGAGTAACCTCTCCTCCTTTAGTGTGACCGATCAGATGCAGTCACATTGCGGTGCCAATCGGGCACCGTGATGGTGTGACTGCACCTATCTGGTGTGTTCACACTGAGGTGCCGATCAGGCACCGTGACATTACCCCCCACACAAAGACCTCCCACCGCATGGGCAGAACCAGGCTTATCAGGGTACCAGGCATGGAAAGAGCGTAGAAGGCATCCAGCATGAATGTCAACAGCATTGACGAATGAGCATTCCTCAGGACCATAAACCTTCCAATCCACCAGATACTTCAAAGAACCATGGAAGAACCTGGAGTTCAAAACAGAACGGACTTCGTACTCTTCCTGAACACAACCGCCAAGGCAGGGGGAGGCGCGGAAGGAGTAGTGTACTTTTTGCAGATTATTGGCTTCAATAAAGAAACATGAAATGTCTGAGGTATACAAAGGTTGGCAGGGAGGTCAAGGACATAAGACACAGGATTGATCCTATGTGACACAGGGAAAGGGCCAATGTATCTAGGAGCGAACTTCATAGAGGGTACCCTGAGTCTTATGTGTTTAGTGGGCAGCCAAACCCTGTCCCCTATTTGATAAGAAGGTGCAGCACTATGTCTATTATCAGCATTCTGCTTAAAATGGGAAGCAGCGCCAGCTAAGGCAGCATGCAGGGCCGTCCTTAGGGGTGTGTGAGCTTTGCGAACGCACAGGGCACAGGGCGCCATGAAGCGGGGGCTCCCTGCAGTTTAACTGCTGCAAGGGAAGCAGGAAGGAGTCCCTGCTTCCCCCAACAACCAGAATCCAGGAGCTGCACTGCCTGTCTGCCTCCACAAGGAACAGACATAACTATGTGTGATTGTCTGTCTGTGTGTTTGACTGTCTGCCTGTGTGTGTGTGTGTGTGTGTGTGTGACTGTCTGCCTGTGTGTGTGTGACTGTCTGTGTGTGACTGTCTGTGTTTGTGACTGTGTGTGTGTGTGAGACTGTCTGTATGTGTGACTGACTGTGTGTGTGTGTGACTGTGTGTGTGTGTGACTGTCTGTGTGTTTGACTGTCTGTGTGTTTGACTGTCTGCCTGTGTGTGTGTGTGTGTGTGTGTGTGCCTGTGTGTGTGTGTGTGTGTGTGTGTCTGCCTGTGTGTGTGACTCTGTGTGTGTGGCTGTCTGTCTGTGTGTGTTTTACTGTGTGTGTGACTGTCTGCCTGTGTGTGTGACTGTCTGCCTGTGTGTGTGTGTGTGTGTGTGTGTGGCTGTCTGCCTATGTGTTTGACTGTCTGCCTGTGTGTGTGACTGTCTGCCTGTGTGTGTGTGTGTGTATGTGTGTGACTGTCTGCCTGTGTGTGTGTGTGACTGTCTGCCTGTGTGTGTGTGACTGCCTATGTGTGACTGTCTGGGCAGACTAGATGGGCCGAATAGTTCTTATCTGCCATCACATTCTATGTCTGTGTGTGTGTTTGTTTGTGGCTGTCTATGTGTGACTGCCTGCATGTGTTTGTGTGTGTGTGTGTATGGCTGTCTGCCTGTGTGTGTGACAGGGTGTGTGGGAAGGGGGAAGGAGGAGGGAGGAAGGAGGGGGGGAGGGAGGGACAGGAAGGGGGGGGTGTGAAGATTTTTCGTACAGGGCGCCCAAAGGCCTAAGGCATACAACACAAAAAGAACTAAGTTTGGAAGAGTCATGCATAGCGTTGTTCCTGGCAAATTCTGCCCAGGTTAAGAGGTCAAACCAATTATCCTGGGAAGCGTTAACGAAACAACGTAGAAAAACTTCCATAAACAGATTTGCCTTTTTGGCAGCCCTGTTAGTTTGGGGATGATAAGACGAAGAAAAAGACTTTTCAATACCCATTTCTTTACAAAACGATTTCCAGAATCGAGAACCTCTGTCAGAAATTATGTTTTGAGGAATCCCATGTAAATTCTCTATTTCCTTATTTCCTTAGGAAGACTTGTGAGGAAGGTAATTTTTTAAGTGGGACAAAATGGGCCATTTTAGAAAATCGAACACTAGTGTTTTATCCCTTGGAGACAGGCAACTCCACTACAAAGTCCATGGCTATATGAGATGATGGAATGAGAGGCACAGGCAACCCACATCTCAATTTGTGTGGAAACTTAAAGACTGCACAAGTCTAGCAAGTATTGACATAAGTGATAACATCGACCTTAAGAGAGGGCCACCAGAACTGTCTGGTTACCACTGAAATAGTTTTGCGTGTACCTGGATGCCCAGCTGTAATGTTATCATGGAACATAGTAAAAATCATCCTTCTTTCTGTTTCAGGAACAAACAGGAGACCTGAAGGTTTAGTACTAAGTGCCTGAGGTTGAGCTGAGATTATGACACCAAGAAGAGGCATGGACAAAGAAAGGACAGTGGAAGCCAAAATACATTCAGGAGGGATAATAGGAGTATTCTCTTGCTTCAGTTCCTCCTCCGCCTGAAATTGCCTAGATAATGCATCAGCCTTTATGTTCCTAGTACCAGGCCTATAAGATATAATCAGTGGCAGAACTACCACGGTCGCAGTGGTCGTAGCTGTGACCGGGCCTGTCACTAGGGATGCGGTCACATCGCTGTGCTGATGGGACACTGTGAAGGTGTGACTGTACTGATCTGGTGTGGTCACACTGAAGTGACGATCGAGCACTGTGACAGTTATACAAAAAATACATACCAGGGAAGCATGTATGCAAAATTTCCAAATCTGGTTGCAAAACCTTTTTTGAGAGGAGAAGGCGACTTAGTCATTTCAGCATAGTTTCATAAATGTTTTTTATTATTGTTGCATTACTATATTCTCCCCAGTTTTATTTATATGCTTATCTTAGTATGTATCCACTGTTCATGTCTGTTTTTCCTTCCTCTTGTGCTCTATTAATAACAGTTATTTTACTAATCTGAATTTGTCTCATCGTATCTTCCTCTACTGTTGATAAAATTATTTTCAGACACAACAAATATAAATATAAAATAGTGGTAAAAATCATATGAACGGCTAAAGCAACATGTACTTAAAACCATATCATGTTTGGTAATGCTTGATAAATATTCTGTGGACTGGACAATTATTTCTGAATTAATTTCCCAGAAGACATGAGTTCCTGACTGCCAGGGCTCTAAAACATCACCTACAGGTGAAAAGTGGAAGATATTCTCTGGGTTCTTAATTTTGCATTTCCACAGGGGCGAATCTTTTTTTAAAACCTTCAGTCTTATTGACACACGGGAAAAAGAGACGCCAAAACTATGTCTGGAATCAGCGTAATGTAGATTCACAATTTCACAATTTTGATTCACAATTTTGTAAAAAAGTATGGCGGGCAAATACATGTGTAGAAAAGCTTACATGATACCTACTGTAAGAGAACAAGGCATTGAATACCTAACAACTATACTATACAATCTTGAACAAAATGGAGAGGTTAAAATTATTTAGTTTTTTCAGTGGCGCTAACTAGATGTCATCAGACATCAACCAGCTCAGTAAGAACTAGACTCAGACTATATAGAACAGGAAAATCACTTAAAGGACAATTTTTACAAAAGGGATATGACGGAAAAACTTTAGAAAAAGAACTAACAGAAATAAGAGAACTACCAAGGAAAAATCTCATTAAATACAAGCCAAAAATAGAACCATCTAACAAAAATGAAATACCCTTTGTAAAATGTAATTTGGAACGGTGATAATGTTGACTCTTCTTAATTTCTTCTTGTCTTCAGTTGATTGATATATATACGTCTTTTGTAGATATATATTCTTGGGCCAAATGCTCGCCACAATAATATATGTCTATATTATTGAAAAGTAGTAATACGCAATCTGACTTACGGTTTCTTCAGGTTTATTCTTTGTTACGGATACATAATAAAACATAATAAAGGATGTTACAGGATAGT